CTCAGGATGTTGGGTCACATCTGGTGCACACCGGCAAGGTACTGACACCCACACAGCTATGCTTTGTGCCTGTGGATTTACAGTTACAACAGGGGTTTCACTGAAACACTGGGAACTCCCCTCCCACCTGGGAAGGTGCCAAATGAGAAAATAAACTGAAGACCTTGAAACCAGCTCTTTTTCTTATCTGGATAAACTCAAGGAGACCAAGAGATTGGTTGGCAGAGCTTTCAGTGACACTGGCTGGCTGACAGCCACATATGAAGTGCAACACCAGAGCAGGGTGGCTGGCTGGCCAGGGGCTTTCCGGACAAACTCTTGGGAAATGTTGCCAGCAGGCTACAAGGAAATGAAGCTAGTGTGATTACTTGGGTTCTTCTGCACAAATCCTGGAAGTCTAGAAATAAGCATGCTAAAATGTAGCGCAGTAGGTACGAGGAAGAGGGGCAGTAATGTGAAGGTACAAAAGGCACAGTCATTGCAGAAGAACCTCTGACAGAGTAAAGTAGGAGTAGATATTAAATCTTGGAGTCAAATCAATTAACCATCTTACAGGAGAGAGGCTGGATCCCAAGGGACTCAATTGCTGGAAGAAAATTGTTGCGAGCTCCCTCAGCTTTAGAACATGACTTGCTTCTGCCAAATAAAATAACAGAGAAGGAGGTGGCAGAGGAACCAGTGAATGCAAGTTTTCCAAGGAGCACACAGAGAGCATGTTTAAACTGTTGAAATGGGGTAGCAGAGCAGCAACCTTCATGAACTCAGATTGGCAGGACAGTATCTGCTGTGTTGGTTCATCTTCATCTGTCTCACCTCCATGCTGGCATCAGGCAGGCGGTCCCAAGCATTCCCCTACTTCTGAACGTGGCTTGTCCTAAAAATGATAGAGACGTAGATGGCTGAAGTCTCCATGCAGTGAAGTCCCCATGCGCTTTCTCAGGAAGAGCTTGAAAGTAGTTTGGAGCAGCTGGAGGAGCTGGAGGTATGGAGACAAGGAGCTCCTCAAGGACATCAAGGCATGGACAGAGCAGACCATGGTCCCAGCACAGCATTAGCTGTAGCAAAGGCCAGGAGCAGGAGTCCCTGGGAAGGTGCAGTGACCAAGAATTGGGGATCAGCCTTCTCATTTCTGTTCTGTTTCTCTGGTTACCTTAAATTTTCCCTGGTAAAAGTGTTAATTCAGAAGCATGGAGCTGCTGTTCCAAATATATGCTGGTTTTGTTTGAACAAATGGCTTTCTTGATTTTTTTTAAAAAAAGGCTATTTGAGGAGGTGGTTTCATCTGGGCAATGCTTTCTGAGTGTCCCTGTGATAGCCGAATTGTTTCAGCTCAGTGGCCAAAGGACCACGGGCTGTCCTCAAGCCATGGGGGGGTGGCAGATGTAGAGAGAGAAGAGGTTTTTGTGGGGAAGGTGTTGGTGAGCAGTCCCTCATCCCTTGGGGTACCTGAACCATCTGTTAAACTGTAAACGTGGGGGACGCTGCTGAAGAATTGCTGTTTAAGCGTCAGTGCCTCCTGCTCCTAAGCACCACCTGAAAGAGAAGCCATCAGGGTGTCAGAAAAGTACCTTAAACCAGAAATGAGTTCCTTAAGCTTTTAGTTGTGTTTTTTATGATCCGTTCAACACAGGACAGGATGAAGAACACAAATTTTAGGGCTTATTTTAGGTAAACTGGTATCTTCAGAAGGTCATTGCTGTTGCTCTGATTGTAAGGTAGATGACAAACTCTCTGAGCCCGAGGTGGATTTTGGAGAAATCACCATGGTTTCATCCTTCATGGATCTGAAACAGGAACTGAAGTGGACAGTAGCTCTGGGCACTGTCTGAGATTGATGCTCTGGCAGAGATGCCATCCATAGGCTGACAGAATTAATCACAATGCTTAAAATTGTAGGGGCTTTTAACAAAAGAGACATGTTGCATGCGAGGAGGTGAAAGACTTTTGTTCCCTTCGGGTGAGAAAGTATCATTTGTGGTTTGAGTGGGCCAAATGCCAAGTGGTTTTGCTAAACAGAGGGCACTCAACACCTTGCCCAGGGGGAAAAAAGGCCAACCAGCTGGTCAGGCTCCATCTTCTGTCTCTGGATCAGCAGAATTACTTTTTCCCTGGAAACTCTTCAGGACAGTCACAGTTGACTAGCCAGAGGGGTGCTTGGAAAAGAGGACGGAGGAAAGTCATCCTGTAAGGAGGTCCTTGCTACAGCTGAGTGGAGGCCATGTGCAGCTCTGGCTGGCACAAGCAGCTGGAACCGGCTGGAAGTGCCGATCACGAGCTGGCCTCCTGCACCCTGCCTCTTCACACAGCAGTGAGCAGCTTGAATCCACCTCACCACCATGTCAGCGCTCCTCCTCAACCCCTTGGCTGCCCAGGAAGTACTGGACATGGCCCAGAGTGGTTTATGTTGCAGAGTTAAAAATCTGCAGTGAGCAAAGCTGTGGGGGTGAAGCAGTGTTTCTTTCCCCATCTCTCCCTGTATCACCTCTTGGTGCTTTAGGCGCCTTTTCTCAGTTGGGGTTTTGCTTCTGTCTTGGAAGGTTCGTTCTTCTGTCTTCTGTATCCAACCTGACTCCTTCCACCTGACTGACTTATTTGTTTCCCCTAAAGCATCTAGGAGACAGAGATCATTTGTAGTCATTGCAAGTCTTTTCCTTAGTTAAATTAGGCTTCCTGGGACATGACACATGAGAAGCCATCAGCAGAACACATGTAGCATGTCCATGCTGCTCTGGTTTCTCAGGAGTGGGAATGGCTTTGCTACGGCATTTACTCAGTAGGACATGATGTGCTTTGCCATATGCAGTGGTGACACACTGGTCCCTCTTTCCATGCCTGGGGACGCAGCGTGCTGGCGAGGTGGAATGGCGCTCAGCAAACAAGTTTCACAGTATCGATGCGGTTTTGCAGAGTTGGATCTCCTTCTACTGTGGGTTGTAAGAGGAAATTTATAATGCTGTGTCCCAAAGGCGCCCTTAAAACACTAGCTCTTTTACCACTGGAAAATCACATAAGCATTTTGGGAGGTTTGCAAGTATCTCTTTTCTAGCAGTCACTTTGTTAAAGATCTTAGGAGCTGGAAGTGCTTGTAATATTAGTCATAGGCTGTTCCCAAAGCTTGAATGAAAGACATATTACCGGCACTTGGCCAGAAGTGTTTCTACTGATGCTGTTCCAGCTGTAAGTAGTATATTTACAGGTCACACTTACGAGAAGCCAAGGACTGCAGTAGTGGCAGAGGGACCTCTAACCAGGTAACTTGGAGGAAAACTCTGGTAGAGGCTTTTGTTCAACTTTCTACTGCTTGTATTTTTTTCATGGGAGTGATAGGAGATGGTTTTGTGGAATAGAGGAGAGTAGCCAAAAGTAGCAAAAATTATGTGGGGGAGGTGGGAAGCCAAACAGGATTTTTAGGTTCTACCACTCATATATAAAGTAGTTGACTTGAAAGCCATAAAGGTAAATGCAATTCAAAGGTTAAATGACCCTTCAAAAAGCAAAGTCATGCAGGATTTAAATAGCCTGCTGGAGAGAGGCCTCTTCTCTGTGCTACTGTAAATCATCTACCATTAACAGGGGAAACATAAGGCCATGAATACATATAAAAGCACGATACTTTGAGAAGAGCTGGCATGAGTTCCTGCTCATGTGTGCAGTGGGTGACACTTCAGCCACTGAGAGGCTCACCCCCACCTTGCATCCTAGTCATGGCCCTCACCATCAAAGACACCATGGATGGCAAGGTTTGCCAAGAAAACAATAGGCAAACATACACAGATAGACATTTGATATGATTTACATCACTAAATGAAATAGAGGGGTGTAAAATGAAATAGTGGACAAGCTGAAGGGTGGTGCTTGTTCTGATTTTCTGGGAGGCGGCTTCTTCACACACTTCTGTAAATGTGACAGAAGACCCCAGAAACTCAAAGATGAGAAGAAAAGAGAAACAAAATAATCTGCTGCAGGATACAGCCTGATGAGCTAAGAGCATTTCCATTGTTGTGAAGTAGCTTTGCCCAAAGAAAGCAGAAAATGTTCAGAAAATGGTGGGACTACACTGCTTTGAATCTAGAGCTTCTCCTTGGAGCTGGTCTTCTCCTCAGCAACAAGTGGCTGCACAGGCACCATTGGGAATTGTTTTCCCTGGCCAAAAGGAAAGACCACAAGAGTGCAACTGATTTTCCTTT